AGCCAGCAGCGATAGGCCCCATTTACCCGCGAACTGGATGGGGCAACAATATGACAACTATTTTGCTAATGTCTCTTATAGAAACCAATTGGATTGTTTTGATGACGTCCCTCTACTACTCGGAGCCACAAACATATTTTATCTTTATGGTGGATGTTATTCCTCAAGGGTGGTGGGGGCGGGGATAGAATGAATCTTGTTTAGTATGTTTATGTCCAAAGGGGGACTTCTCTTCATGTTGTGTTCTCAGCCATCGTAATGACTTTGTTTTTGTTTTTTTGTTTTTGAAGTTGAAAATTCTCTCGGCTGGCTTTCTTTCACTTGGGTTTTGCGATCATAATTTGCCATTAATTAATGGAAGGTCTGATGGGTTTTTTTTTTCTTTTCATAATTCATTTTCCCAGTTCTGTTGGAGGCAGGAAAAGCAATGCTTTGAGGTGCGTGAAGCAACGTCAAGTTCTCTGCCGGATGAATGCCTGTGCCATTTTCATGTGAGATGCACAACAGCATATTATGGCTTCAACTTACAAACTTAACTAAATACTGTCAAGCCACCATTAATTCCCATTACGTATTACAATTCTTCTCTCTGTGTTACATGAGTCCTAACTAGGAGGACCTTACCTAAGTCACTTTAAATTTGCCATCAATATGATACTGTCTTTGAGATACCCCCTAAAAGAAGCAAGACACTTTCTGGTGCATCAAGGCTGAGTATCCCATTTTTCATCACGTGGCAAACAGTCCCATTGCGTCTTCAACAGAATAGAAAATAAATTTCCCTAATAAACGTGAAAAAAATTGGGAAGCACTCTACTCCATCTGTACATTTCTCAGTCAGCAGGCCACTTCTAGGTTCACAGAGAATGACTGAACATGTTGTGACTGTAATATTTAGCAGACGCAGGGGAAGCAACATACCCAAACTAAAATTTTCCTTTTTGCAAGTTCCAAATTTGTGGATGTACATTTGTTAGTAGGCAGGCTACTTACTATGACAACGTTAAAATAATAGGAAAAGACCGAGAGGACCTGACCATTTGCATAATGGCCTGAGAGGGAATATTTTAAAGTTTTGTAGCAATTGATCATGTCGTTTTTTTTGGGGGGGGGGGGTTACATAACGCTTCTACAACGAACAGACGAGCCAACAAGCAGTAATGAAATCGATATATTGCGCCTGAGGCATCTCTTCAAGGCGAGCGGCTGACCTGTGACCTTTCATTTCAAGCTCAAGCAGAAAAGTTCAGCTGAGGGCTGGATTCTTATTTACTGTACAGCGTGGTTTTCATCTCAAACAGAAAGGCTTGAAATGGGCCACTTTTTAGCAATTTATGACATTTACATTGGAAGAAGGAACGAAAGCATTTTAGAAGTGTGTGGTGCAAGCTAGCTCCTCAAGAAGGAGACTCAAGAAGGAATTACAATCGTGGGGTGGTTCTTTTAGGGAAATCTTTTTTACCCTGCGAAGCAAGAGATCTTTGAAATGAGCACATCGTGACGAATGACGCTTGGAGCGAGAATTTGGACTCAAATAGTCAGACCCCTGATATGAGAATTAGTCGTTTCACCTAGAATGGTTCTCAAGACACTTTTACGCGACCTGTAAAAGCCAATCGGAGGATGAGGTCGAGCCGGCGGTTTCATGGCTTCCTAAGTAGCATCAGAAGGGGGATAGTGTTTGAGTTAATGCATGCCATGACTTATTCTGTTATATGAATGGAAAATGATGGCTATGCAGGTTAATTACGGACTTTTTGTCATGCAGTGGAAGAGCATATCTGTGTAGCGTAGGTATTCACTATATGTCGTTGACATAGCGAGATTAACAAAAATACATTATTTGTAGTAAATAAATAATACTTTTTGGACCAACTAGGTGAAATGATCCAATTTGATGATGTGAACCATTCACGCTCACAATCACACCCTGGGACAATTGAGAATGTTTCATTCATCTGCCACACATAGTGGAAAGTGGATGGAAACCGGAGTACCCGGAGAAAACCCGCGCAGGCTCGGGAAGAACATGCAAACTCCACACAAGAAGGCCGGAGCCAGAATCGAGCCCTGCACCTCTGCACTGTGAGGCCGACGCGCTAACCACTGGACCACCGGGCTGCTCCACAGCAAAAATGTAAGCATAAAATACTTAAATTCTGGTTCTGATAAGGAATGGGTATTTGACGACACAGCCTTGATCAACGATGGATGATTTTTTTAATACCTAAAATATTTTGAAAGAATGGGAGGTTCTCTCTTTTTTTTCCATGTCTATTTCTTTTTCAGCGTCATCTTGCCCGCATGATTTGTCCCATGCCTCGGACATGGCTCCATTTCCATTAGCTGATGTCACGTCCTTTCGACAGCAACCTAGCGCAGAGTGAATCTCTGCTAGTTGCAGCCAAGTAGTCAACCCCATTAAGACTCGACTGCTAGTTCGACTCAATTCCACTCCAATTAACTGCCTTCTAGCAATCAATTAATCAAGATTTACAATCGATACTCTTCCTCTCCGGTCCAACATTGTGTCCTGCTTCGCACCATTATGGACAGCGGCATAAATATCGGGCGGGGACGTGCTCGGTTTATGCCGACGTTCAATTCTGATGGCAATGACGTGACCCTGAATTTGCACTATCATGCAAATCTCTAATCTCAGGAGTAGAGTCATCATGACAGTAAATATTTGCATGGAAAACATTTCTACGCCATACTGTAAATTTAAAACAATTCGTTTGAAAAAACACAAAGTCTGTCAGTAACAAAGTGGGCCTTCTGATGGCATGGGACATGTTTGCATGCCCGCATCACACTGACTTTATTACGCAGTTTTGAACTTCTGAACCCTGTCTAATGATGTACCATTATAAAGGGAGAATCCCCTGTGATTAGTTTTTCCTTGACCAAAGCTCAACTGTCCCTGGAAACATGCGATAAAAGAGAGGAACACACACCACCACAAAGATAACCTCCTTGGCGGAGTTATAAAAAGCCTCAATGTGACTGTGCCTGTTTCCTCCACGTGTGAACTTGTTTCCTCAAGTGTCTCCTCCTTGCTTGCCAACATGTGTGTGTGTCTACCTGGAATCCTGGCATGTGTCCCGCCTCCTCCTACTCCTCCTTACCGCCTCATCAACCACCAGTGGCTCTCCTTGCCAGAGTGCCACTACCCACGTGAGCGCGACTCTTCGGCCGCCCAGTTAAAGTGCTGTTATTAATGTTCTCCAGTGTTACTGTTGTGCATTACACCCGAGTGTCTCTCTGGGGCCTCCACTTTTGTGTTTCACATGACAGCTCGTGTCACTTGGGTTTGCTACCAGGCCTAACGTCTTGGTCGAAGAGGTGAAGACGCCGCGGCGCAAAATAATAACATGAAACAGCTGCATATGCAGCTGGAGTTCCAGTAAGTAGAACGCAGATGTTGAACATTAAAAAAAAAAAAATTATGCACAGTATTCTTGTTTGTGTGTTATTGGAAGGTCAACATACAGGTTCGAAGATGAACACTTCACAGACGGACTGATAGGAATGTGCCATTTTTTTATTCTGGGGTGAGGTGAGTAAATTCCTCATACTTTCTGGTTTATGCAATAACGTTTGGATGCTACTGCAGAATCTGGGCGGAGGGAACATTTCTATGTTGACTCTCGACGAAAAGTGTAATGAAAACAGTCGAGCATTGTATTGGTGTTTCGTTTCTTTTTGTTGGTTGGTTGGATACTACAAGACAGGAATGGGCAGTCAGAATCTTACCACATTGTATTATGTGGCAGGGATGGAATTGAAGTCCTCCAAAAAAAAAAAAAAAAAAGCACAGCAGAATTAGTCATTCTTTCTTCATATGTTCGTCACGACCGAGGACAATACGCATGGAAAACGTCTTACAAAAAAAACAAAAAAAAAAACATTCACAATCATCGACCCTGAATTGGTTGCCAGGCAATCGCAGGGTGCACATAGGCGAGCAAACATTCGCGGCCACACTCACAATCACACCCAGGGGTAATTTAAAGTGTTCCATTGACCTGCAACGAATGTTTTTGGAATGTGGGAGGAAACCGGAATACCTGGAGAAAACCCACGCAGGCACGGGGAGAACATGCAAACTCCACACAGGTAGGCCGGATCCGGAATCGAACCCAGCACCTCTCCACTGTCAGGCCGGCGTGCTAATCAGTCGACTACGGTGCCGCCCCAAGAAATCATAGACCACCAAATTGAGTTCGGTTGGCTACATTTACCCCTTGTTCCTGGTGGGCACAGCAGCTGCGATTCAGGCCACCGTGGACAAAACGGGATAGTCATGACAAAATGTGGGGAGACAGGCTGGGCAGATGTGACAGGCCGTTATTGCCGCGGATGCCAGGCGAGATTTTTAAACTGTCATAAAACTTGCGGTCACAGCTTGAATGAGAAACCTATTCCGTACACGAACACCCTGAACTGTTCAGCAGCCAGCCACAGGCATGCCACATACAGACCAACAAGCATTCACTCTCGCATTCACACTAGAGGACAATTTGGGGTCTTGGCTCTCGGATGAAATCTCAAGGAAAAAGTAGTTCTCCAGGAACATCGGGAAATGGCCCAGGCTTCAAAATGGCTGCTTCAAACTAAACTTTCTGTGTCTTTTCAAACATGGCTACTTGAGACTTTTTTGTGGACCTACACATGAGACAGATGCCGTTCAAATTTTATCTTGTGAAATGAAACTGGCTTTGCGGATGGATTTTCCCATAGGAACCCAAAAATTGTGGGCTTTACATTACTAAAACTACTAAAATGTGGTTTCATTATTGTCTTTGCATGCCACCGTAACCTACTGAGAGTTGCACACTGTTTAATATTTTGCTCACCTTATTTTGCTACGCAGTCTTAGTTTTTTTTTTTTTTTTTTTTTCTCCTCCTTCTAGCACGCACGGCCATCACTTTGCACCGTTCCAACTTGGCTCCATCTGCTCTGGCAGGCTGGCGACCTTTGGCAAATGGAAGATGTGTAAATATTAATAGCTGCAATTGGAGACGTTTAACAAAGAAAGCAGGTTTGAGCATTTTATAGAAACAGTTAACTTCAATGTCCTGCAGGCTCTTTAAAAAAAAAAAAAAAGAGGCGCTGGAAGAAAGCGAAAGACTTTAATTATTAATGTTATAATGTGCCTTTCCCAAGGCAATGTGCCAGGTTTCATAGCACAAATGTAAATTCAGACGGGATAGCATTCCTATTCATGCAAGTGTGCCTCCAAAAAAAGGTGAATGCTGAGAGATAACCGACACAAATGCCGAGAGACACCCATTGCCAGTAATACTGCATACTGGAAATAATTTGCATCTGAATGCTGAGAAACAAGCATTTTCATTTTGTGAATGGTGGGAGATGAATACTGATGCCGATTCTATACCGTGAATGCTGAAAAAGATGCACAGGCTATTGTGCATCAAAACATTTAACACGTCAAAGTTCAGAGACAAGCGTTGACGCCAGTTATTTATTTATTTTATTTTTTAGACATCGACAATTATGCAATAATGTTGGACAACATTTGTATATGAATGCCGAGACATAAAAATTCACACGAACGCTGTTTATTAAAACATGCCACTCTGTAACTGCTGTGAGACGACCATTATCAGTAATGATGAGTGCTGGAAATAATTTGGATGTGAATGCCAAATAAGACGCTGTGACACTGATGTTTTTGCATGGCAAAAATAACGTTTGTAAATAGTGAGATATGATCATGTTGATAATAAATATCGGTCAAGAATTCACATTCAGGACGGTTGGCACTTAAATTTGTGTTATTTTGTGAATGCTGATAGAGGAGCATCCCCTCGAATGCAATTGTGTTTTGAGATTTTTGAATGGCGACAATGATCTCTGCAGATACAGTGCTTTAGCTGGCAAAGTCCGGTCGAGTCTGGATCAAATCCTGCACAGCAAAAAAAAAAAAATTAAATCTGAGAAGCTGTCAGGGAGTTTTGCATTACTTCCCCCCCAGTTTATGACCTCTACAGTCCAGAAAGACCTCGGCGAGCTAGTGAGGAGTCTGGGTAAAATGGCACAAACGTGAACCTGTGTGCTCTTGTGCCTCACCTTCAGCCTACCACAGTGCAGGGGATGGAATGCGGTCTACCTCACATTGCTTCACATTTATCCGCACTGCCATGCGATCTGCAAAACAAAATATGTAACAGATAAATATTAAATACATTACACTTGACAATGCGTGTTACAAAGTGTCTGAAAAGATTATTTTGGAGACAAGAGGTTGGCTACCCACCCCAAAGACAATAAATAAATCAATAAATCCATCTATCGATCGATCTAGCGAGCTAGCTAGCGCTCTCTCTCTCTCTCTCTCTTTGTGTGTATATATATATATATATACACTGTATATATAAAATTACCGTAATTACCGTAATATTGAAAAAAAAAATCGGCACAAAGGTGAATCCGACAGTAAAATTAACCCGCCATAGTGGCGAGAGGGAGTGTCGGAGTTACCTGCCACTGAAGAGATTCAGCCGCATTCATCAGGTTGGCAGGTGATAATGTCATACAGATAAACTTCAGCGTTGACACTTCTTTTGCACATCCATTATAATTCAGATTTAGATATTGACAGACACAGTTACAGGCTTCATCATTTATTTCTGAGCATTGTGGCTCAGTACTCTCATGAATTATCGAAGGGAATTCTAATTTCTAGTTGCATGTGAAGATCTACAATGCAAAAAAAAAGGGGCGGGGGGG